AATAAGGAAACTACCAGAGGGAGAAGGCAATTGTGCAACTATGAAATGAACAGCAGGGGATGGGAAGTTAATTCTATTATTAGAACAAAAATAGTTTGAATCAAGGCAATGGGTAAATATGGTTTTTTTTTAAACTAACAGACAATTTGTAAACTGTACTTACATAAAAGCGGGCATGGGAAACGTCTGAAGGCACCGCAACATTGTAAGGCCCAACTGCTTTGTAGAGGCATCGACTATGCCGCACTAACACCCCCTGCGGCCATATTGTGTTCTCAGACCAGCTGTGCATAAGAAAGACTTTTAATGAACATCAGAAAGCCAGCCAGGTAGTGTATTTCATTTTTTAAAATCACAATACAGCTGCTAATATTTAAGCACCATATATTCAGTTCTGGTTTCCTTAGAAATTAAATTTGCTTCCAAATAAAATGTTCAGACTTATGCAGATGGGGTTGGAGTTTAAGCAATCACATATTTTGTCTTGGATACCAAGGTCAGCCCACATTTGTGAATCATTTTATCACAGAATCATAGAGCCATTGACAAAGTGCCCCATGATATCCTGATTAGCAAGCTAACTAGGTGTGGGCTGCATTGATCAAGTGCCGGGTGGATACACAATTGACTACAAAATCATACTCAGAGGGTGATGATTAATGGGTCCTTCTCTAACTGGGAGGAGGTAACAAGTGGGGTACCCCAAGGCTCAGTCCTGGGCCTGGTGCTCTTCAATATTTTTATTAATGACTTAGATGAGGGAATGCAGGGAATGCTTGTCTAATCTGCAGATGATACCAAATTGGGCGGAATAGCTAATACCCTAGAAGAGAGAAACAAAATTGATAGGATGGAGCACTGGGCTGAAAGCAACAGAATGAAATTCAACAGGGAGAATTGCAAAGTACTGCACGTCGGAAAAAGAAACCAATTGCAGTTACAAGATGGGGGATACTTGGCTCAGCAAAACTATGAGCGAGAAAGATCTTGGAGTTGTTGTAGATCATAAGCTAACTATGAGCCAACAGTGTGATGTGGCTACAAAAAAACGCCAATGCTATTTTAGGCTGCATTAACAGAAGTATAGTTTCCAAATCCTGCGAGGTGCTAGTCCCCCTCTATTCAGCACTGGTTAGGCCTCACCTTGAATGATTGTGTCCAGTTCTGGACACCACACTTCAAGAAGGATGCTAAGAAATTGGAACAAGTTCAGAGGAGGGCGACAAGGATGATTAGGGGGCTGGAAACGAGGCCTTATGAGGAAAGGCTGAAAGGATTTGATATGTTTAGCTTTGAGAAAAGAAGACTGAGGGGTGATATGATAGCACTTTTCAAATATCGGAAAGGCTGTCATACAGAAGAGGGGCAAGATCTGTTCTCGATCATCCCAGAGTGCAGGACATGCAACAATGAGTTCAAGTTAAAGGAAGCAAGATTTCGGTTGAATATCAAGAAAAACTTCCTAACTGTTAGAACAGTACGACAGTGGAACCAGTTACCTCAGGAGCTGGTGAGTGCTCCAACACTGGAGGCATTCAAGAGAAACTTGGATAATCGCCTGGCAGATATGCTTTGATTGTATTCCTGCATTGAGCAGGGGCTTGGACTTAAATGTCCTTGGAGGCCCCTTCCAACCTCACTTTTCTATGATTCTAAGTCCGTGGGCCACCACAGGAGCCTTTGCTGTTTCTGCTGGTAGAGATTAAGACAATCACTGCTCTAGAAGAAAAACTGAAGTACCCTCCAAGAACAAGAACAGAAGCACGCCTTGAACCATGAGTGGGCATAATGAACACCTCCTGGTGTTGTACTGCAACACCCAGCATTCCTTGCTATTGGCTATACTGGTTAAGCATGCTTGAAATTGCAGGCCAACAACTTTACCCACTGTTGTGCCTTTAACAGAAAGACACCAGAACACTAGGGCCTTCCACTTAAAAGTATGTAGTAAAGGGAGACTTTTCTGAGCTCCCTATAAAAAAATTAAAACGGTCCAGACTTAATGTATCCAATTATGGAAAGAAAAAAGTTGGTCCTTGGCAGAAATGGAAGCAAAGAAGAGGACAATATGCAAGCAAGACTGGATGTTTATATTTGTAGACAGTTATAATCACAAGTCTCTGGAATGCAAAATATGGGACAAAGAAGGAGTTTTGTATCTTGGGTAATTCTGTAAGATGTGTTGAGGATTTGCTATTTATAAACACTACTATCTAGTGGAGACATGCTAAACAGAAAGCATACGAAGTTCAGAGAAGTCATATCCTTTCAAGTGCATTAGAAACTTCCTGAAAACTCCACTGGGTAGGGAAAGACATAGAACACAAGGCTGCTTAAGTAGGCAAGCATGCCTACAAGCAGAAAAACTATCACAACCCTCCACTGCTGGACAGAACACTTCTCTTCACCCAAGGAATGCTGCAGAGGTATTCTTTGTAGCAAGGAGAGTCTCAGCAGTCTTCTCACTATTCCAACTGCAGTTAGTAAGGCTATGATTGTGGGTAGAAATGGGCACAAATTAAAAAATGAATTGCCAAATTCATTCCAAAAATGCTACAAGGCTGCTTAAGTAGGCAAGCATGCCTACAAGCAGAAAAACTATCACAACCCTCCACTGCTGGACAGAACACTTCTCTTCACCCAAGGAATGCTGCAGAGGTATTCTTTGTAGCAAGGAGAGTCTCAGCAGTCTTCTCACTATTCCAACTGCAGTTAGTAAGGCTATGATTGTGGGTAGAAATGGGCACAAATTAAAAAATGAATTGCCAGATTCATTCCAAAAATGCTAATTCGTTTATTTGCATTTGTATGAATCAATGCCCCCAATGAATACGAATCAACAAATGTTTAGCGATTTTTGATTTGTTTGGCTATAAAACAGATCCCCGACACCTAGAGACACTGACATTGTAGGGAAGCTTCCCCTGACTCTCCTCTACAATCGCTCTAAGTTTGGTGACGAGTGGGTTTCAAAAATTCATTATACACCCACAAAGAGAGCCCCCCCCCGGAACCTAGAGAACCAAAATCACAGAGAAGCTTCCCAAGACTCTCCACTACAATCTGTTCAAGTTTGGGGAATATTAGGTTTCCCCAAGCCAGCTGCAAAAAGGGCACTTTTCTGGAGGGACACACTTTGTGGATGTATAACTTGGATGTCTGAAACCCAATCTACCAAAACTTGGAGGGATTGCAGATGAGAGTTATTAGAACCTTCTCTGTGATTTTGGGGTCTCTAGGTGCCTAGAGAGAACTTTCCTGGGGGGTCCTCTTTGAACACCCACTTGGAAGTTCAAAATCCCCCAAATCCACCAAATGTGGAGCAGTTGTAGAGGAGAGTTAGAGGAAGCTTCCTAGCAAATTTGGTGCCTTTAGCTGCTTGGAGGGCCATTTAATAGGGTTTTAAAGATAAAAATGAACTGATGAATCAATTAGAAATTGTGATTCGTTGACCTTGGCAAATCACAACAAATCAGTTTTTCTGATTCACATCCATCTCTAAATGTGGGTATTATACTCAGATTGAAGACATTACTGGCCAAGTTGCAAATTTGTGCTAAACGTCAAAAAAATATAGTTTTGAAAATTAAAACAAAGAAAGCAAAGTCTGAGGAAGGCCTGTTTGGCACGAACTATTTGCACACAGTAGAAACATGGGAGTTCATTTTGCCAGACAAACTCTCTTTGGGGAAAAATGCACATGGAAGCCCTTCCAATGGTATGAGAAATAAAATCCTGAGTGCATAAAACTCTCATGCTCGTGTCAATGCATTTTGAGACCCAGAAGAATAACGTAAGAGATGGCATCCTTTTCCAACTGGGTATCAGAAGGAATGTACTGTCCTTTGCTGTATGAGCCATTCCAGGCAACACTTCAGGCCTGTCATTATAGAACCATCAGAGGAGGGAGAGGGGATGGGCAGAAACTGTTGCAGATGAAAAAGAGAAAGTACTGAATGAAAAATGGGAAGGAAAGGCTGATCCAGAGACCAGGCCCACCACCTGGCAAGGAACCATACCCCATTCAGAATAGGCACATTTCTGTTCCATTCACTTGAATCCATTTTGAATCTATTATGCTTCAATAAGATGAAAAATCTTGCTTATTATCTGCTTAATTAGGTTACCATATGTTCAACAGGGAGTATTGTTTTTAGACAATCAAATGTTAATTATGCTATTATCCATTAATTGCTTGAATCCCAAAACCTTTGCCATATGTTTGGTAAGACAGCTAAGGACGTAATACTATGTATGATTACTCAGAGGCAAGTGCCACTTATTTAAAAGGAACTTGCTTGCTGGTAAGAATGCTTCAGGTGGAAGCTTTCATCAGTCTCATGCCAACAGCTTTTGCCTAATATTTAAATCAAACAGCCAGTCCTGAGTTCTTCACATTACAGATTATTATGCTGTAACTGTAGGCTGCTGACTGGAATACATATTTTTGCCATGAGTCTTGCAAATCCATTAAACTGGCCAACCTTAAAAATGACTTAAATTCTCTATCACAGTGAAGAAGAGAAGCAACAACAATAACATGAAGGGACGTTCTACCTAGAATTCCTCCCAAAAATGGCCCTGTGGAAGAATCCTGACAACTTTTTACAGCCTACTTTGTTAGTCCATGTGAGCCAGTTTTATATGTTTGCTTCTCATAGAATTTAAATTTATTTGTATTATTGTTATAGCTAGATATATCTTCCCAGGATAGGTTACATATAACTACAGTGTGTGTGTGTGTCCCTCACTACAACAAGTAATCATTGCCCTCTGGCACTAGGAATGAGCAAACCATACTCCAGCTTGGACCTAGGGATTGGTTGAAGGGATCCTACACATTGCATTCTGGAAGAATCTGATGCTCATGAAAACAAAACAATAGCTATCCATTAGAAGATGGGTGTCCACAGGTTGACATAATGAGGGTCACCGTCTGCTGTTGCTGCAGGCTCCATGCTCCCTATTGATGTGGAACTCGTGGCCCGTTAGCTACTCCTGACAGGAGGCGGGACAACAAGCCTCCCTGCCAGGTTGAAGAGTGGCTCGCCGACTGCAAGTTGTGGAGCGAGAGGAAGGGAGCACAGAGCCTGCGGCATGGATGGATGATCTGGTCCCAGGGGGCTGGACGCCGGGGGGGGTATATGTCCACCCGTGGGGCGGGTATTCGTATACGAACACCTCAATCTCTACTACCCATCCCTCCAAGCTGGAGATGGCTATTTGGAGCACCTTTGCTATCTAGTGCTCCAGTGAGCCAAGCCTCCCCACATGTGCTGTAAAATGGAAGGTTGTAAATGGCCAGAGATGACAGAGGAACGCTGAGTACCTTGCCTGGCTAGTACTCTGAGGAACACTCATTTCCTCCCCCCAGCTTTCCCAAATGTGGTGCAGAGACAGGACAGTAGGTAGGATTGCTGCCATTGATATGAGTTTCCCAAGTCACTTCATGCTCAGTGCAGCTGAACAGACAATGCCCAGAGCTCAGGGAAAAGGGACTGGATTGTTTGCAAATGTATGCAGGTGAAGTCAGACACGAGTAGTCCAGTCCTTCCCATGTCTACTCAGAAGCATGTGTGACTGGGTTCTGTTGGAATTTATTTCTGTATTTGCACCAGGATGATTGCCTTCCCTCGGGACTGAGCTCAACAGAACAGAGTGGGATTTACATGCCAGCAAGCACACCAAGGATTGCACCTAAGGAGAAAAGTGAAGTCTTCGCATCCAGCAATTCTGTTTCAATTACAAAAGGTTTGCCAAAACATAAAGACCCCTCTTTCTCTGCAAACCTGCTGAGTCCCTAGAATATAGGAACCACAACCTTATCTGGGCTGACCCTACTTTTCCGCCCAAAATGTAGGCACTAGACCATCCCAACTGGAATGGAAAGAAGGTTTACTTGGAAACATGTACAGAGGATCAGTTTGTTAAAGAGTTTAAGACTAGAACACAGTAGGAAAAACATATTCTCAGTTATTGGTCTTTGCCCTCCTCCATCATGTGTAGATAAAATCCCCTTACATTGATAAGAGAATTAGAAAAGGATATCTGTCAGTAACACAATAAATCATGCAAACAAAGTATCAGATAAGTCTGCACAAATTACATCTCATGACAATGTGTTCTCTAAAGGAAGATATATCATCCAACTAAGTCGCTGACTAATACTGACATGAACAAAACAGTCTTGCATCCAAGGAAAGCATTTAAATACTTCCAGTTCTTTTTTATCCCATGACCCCTGACAATAATGCTTTGAGATCACACTCACATGTGCTGGGGGGCATTGCTATATGAACCGTGTTCCAGCTTCTGCCATTTGCCCAAGTGGGCAGCTGATCGGTGTAGCAAGTCGCAATACTTGGGAGGAAGTAGCTGTGTGGTGAGCATGACAAAAGCATTGATCCACACCATGATGAGGTGTTCACAGGACCAGCGCATGTCGTAGTACTGGGTGCTCTGCAAAAAATCAGACAGCAAGTTCATAGCAGCCCATCAAAGATCTCAAAAGCAGAGGAAGGGTGTTCTACAGCCACATATTTAAGCAGCTGCCTATGCACTGCAATGCTAGAACCCCTTTAAGTCTTTCTCCTTGGCATGCCACGAATGTCTGCACATCCCCTCAAACAGCAACTACATGTGAGTCACTGCGTTCTCTGGAACATGTGCACTACAGTGGCACTACACCATACTGGCACTAAAGAACAAGCCCACAGAAGCTTTCTGCTCAGGTCAAGAGAGAAACAGAACTGATTATAGATGCACCAGCCTGGCACCACTTCAGTGATCTACACTGCATCTGAGATTTCTTGTAATTCCCCCCATTCTCTAAACAGATTAATTCAAAGGCTTAGTACTGGCATCCCAGACAGTGTCAAATCAGGGTTTAAATTTGGTATTAAATGCTATCTTAAAGCACAAAAATATAATGGTGTTATAGCTGGCTAGGAAAGAGGACAGGGTTAGTAGAAGGGATGGAGAAAAAGGAGTAGGGGAACCACAGGGGCACTACATGTATGGCAATACCTATCCGCCAACCAGGAGCAATACTAGTGCACTCCAGATGCAGTTACGCTCCGCCATCCAGGCTGCCAAAGGGGAGACAGAGAAAAGGGGAATTAACCAGAAATCCATTGTGCCAACAATCCACAGGCAAGATTTAGGAGCCGGCAGCAGTGGCAGCAGCAATAGCAGAGGAGTCAGACAACAGCTACCTTCACAAAGCACAGTGGCAGGAATGCCACATAGTAGGCACTGAAGAGGGAATTGAATAGAACCTCCTTGATTCGACGGTTGAAGTCTGCCTTCAGGCATTCCACCTCGTTGCGAATCAGGTCTGGGGACAAGGGGCAGCTGTGCGTGGGAATGGGCATAGGGTTGTTGAACTGTTCTTTCAGAGACTCTCTCAGGAGAGAGATGAAGTCTTTGGGCTTGACAAGGCTACCAGCTCCTGAGGAACCAGCATCCATCAGTTGATCCTGCACCAAATAGCTGCAGTCTGTGGAAAGAGGTTGTGTTCTGCTGTCTTGATGGAAGCAGCACAGTGGGACATAGACACCAAACCTGTAGAGATGGGAGAGGCATCAGGTAAGAGGACAGCCTGTGATGAATTCCAAATATGAACACCTGATTGGAGTGTCCCTGCTAAGAGGTATTGCATTCTCCATTCCAGGAGTCATCCATCTCTCTTTCCTCAAGATGGTTCTCATTTTGGCAAAGCCCTCTTAATGCCACAAATTAAACAGCAAGACCACAGATAGAAATTCGGTAGATTTGGAGGCTTCAAGGAGTTTTCCTGCTCCTCAGAAACCTCATGATCTTCTCTCTTCTCCTACCACCTTGATACTTACTCATTCATCCATATCTTATGCCAAGTTGACAAAATAGGTGTCCCCTAAGCTACATAATGAAAACACACATACAATGGGAAAAAGATCCTAAAAAAGGCTTCTTTCTGCTCCTAGCCACATGCCCTCATAACATCTACTGAGGTGGTGCCTCCAAATGCAGTAGATTATCTGCCTAGCCTGTGTCAAACAACAGTTTCCTTTTCGTCATGTCTTGTTCTCCAGACCTGGTATTCTGCCCTTCCCTGTTCTAATTCAGGATTACAGCGGATACTCACGGGTAGCCAAGAAACAGGAGATTGAGGACAGAATGGCTGCGAAACAGGTTAACCAAAGTCCAGCAGAGCCATCCACACAGGGTCAGCAGCACTAGCCATGCCAGAATCAGTGCCATGTAGTGGATCACTGACGTTGTGCCCACCTGAGAAGCCTGAAAATTCAAACCCAGAGAATCATCAGATCTGCACCCTTTCCTTGTGAAACCCATAAAATGTTCCAGAGATTTTCTGATTCCCAGCAAAAGTACAGCTGCACCTGCTCCTCAAAAAGGGAAGGAGGTTGGTTTTTTTAAATTCCTTTTAAAATTTACTTTGTTGGACAATATTAAAAGTAATACTGGAGGATTACAACAGACTTTCTCACAACGTGGCCTGCTCCATCCTCAGTCAACCAAATGTCACGCTGGATGGCATTCTGGTAACTGCAGTACAACATATCTGAGAGATGCTAGGTTGAGAGGAGTTGAGGTATTATATATACCTCATTCTGGTAACTGCAGTACAACATATTTGAGAGATGCTAGGTTGAGAGGAGTTGTATATATATATATATAAATGAAACAACATGCACATTTTCTATGAAGTAGAGCCAAACCAATCTTTCCTCTAGTTCAAGTTTTACCTGTGTCAGAGGCCTGTCCTTTGTATAATATAAAAAAGGTTCTCAACCTTTTGTATATTATACCTTACAAACTGGTCTTAACAAAGAACATGAGTCCCACCACGACAGAAAGAAAATGCCCCCTTTTTCCAAGATGGGCATTATGCACTTAATCAATCACAGTAGATTAAAAATGGCAGGGTTGGTCAGAGATGTCCACCATCACCAGGTCATGTGGCATGAAGATGAAGTCACAGGAATATAAAAGAGGAAGAAAAAGAATGAGGACTGCTTTGTGGAACATCAGTGACACCCACTGGTGGACAAGAGGAACAGGTAATCAGGAGATACAGCCAGTTCCTGGTGTTACTATTAGCATGCCAATAGGTCACATGATACATGATAGGTGAGGTTGGGAGGAGAGGAGGATATGGGGATTGTGCGAGAGCAAATTTTTAGTGACTATTATGAAAATCCTATAAAGATGACTACTTCTGTGTCCCTTTGGTATTGTGCTGGTTAACTACTGCTCTGAGGTCTACTGACAGCAGACCCAGGAAGTCTGATATGGACTTACCGTATTTTGTGGGTTCAGGGCATTAAAGCTCCTTTCTCCAAACATTTGTAAAATCACAAAAATAATAAATATCTTAACCACAGAAAAAGCAGGTAACAAAAAATCCAAATTGTGTGATCTACCTTTTTCTTAAACTCCAGGGGGCCTACAGCTAATGCACAAGCTCATACCGACATCCAGGCTTAATAAAAATCCCTTCTGCCAAATAAGTTTAGAAAAAGGAAGCAGCAACCGTTAACCTGCTAAGAATCCAATCTATGCCAATCTAAATTCAGTGTCGTAATCATAAATTCAGACAGGACTGCAGATACAAACCCATGTGCTCATGCACCTGTGTGCTAACACACATTAACACGAACACGGGGGGGGGGGAAGGAGGTTTGCTTGTTTGTTTAAAATAAATGAAGACGAGCAATTGGGGATGGAAATATGGAAAACACTGTTAAGTTGAATAATTCATTTTTTTAAATCCAGCATAGCGGAAAATCAGCATGCTTAATGTTTCAACTTCACAATTCATTAAAACACAAAACTGAGTAATGTGCAGTTGTGACCCCTGTTCTACCCCATTAGTAACAATGAAAGAATGGCTTAGATTAGGATTACTGGGCACATTTCAAAAAAGATCCTATTCACAATGGTATTTTGAGTATTTATTTACTTAATATATCTTTATGCCACCTTTCATCTGGTGAAGGTACCCAAGGCTGCTCACTATTATGAAAAAGCAAGGCAAATGAAAACAGTGACTGAAATCCGTTTGCTTAGCATGGTACTTTGCACAAGAGTTGACATACTAATTAGTGGAGATATTGCGAGTCAACTTCTTTATAAGTTCTACTGATTCAAATGGGTCTATTTTAGTTGTGACTTATTACACTGAAGTAAATTTCAGGTAAAAGAAGTCCACTTGAATTTATGTAATTTACAGTGGGACTGAGTATGAAATCTCTACTGATTCAATGGGGCTACTTTAATATCACTTACTATGCTAAGCAACTCGACTTCAGCCAGTACATTATTCTGTTAAAAAGCAATTAAAGCATATAATATTAAAACAATTTAAAAGACATTCAAAGACAAATTAACAATTATGACTACTACTCCCACCCCCACCACCATGTGCTGTATTCCAAAATCAAAAACTTTTTATTGCCCAACAGTTGAGGTCTTCACCAGTCTCCTGAAGGAGAGGAGGGTTAAGCTAACTGGGCTTCCGGAGGGAAGATATTCCACAATCTGGGAACAGCCACTGACAAGGCTTTCTCTTGTGTCTTCACTGGATGCCTCTGTGGAGGTTGCAGGATCAAGTGAAAACCTCCTCTAAAGAGCCAGGGAGACTCGTACAGTCCTTCAGACAGCTTGGACCCAGCCTGTAACGGCTTTATAGTTAACAACCATCACTTTTAATTGGGCTTTGACATGGACTGGCAGCTTGTGAAGCTGTTCTAACAGGGGAGTTATAGGCATGCTCCCTATAAATGGAAACTTTTGTCAATGAATTCCACCCTACTCCCTGGGCTGATTTTTCTTTGTAAACACTACTAGAACACAATTTATTTTGAAACTGCCGATTGTGCATGAGTAATACTGTTCACTTGATCTCTGCCTGTTGTACTGCTATAAGCACCGGGAGCTCAAAGGCTCTCACCCAAGTGCAACAGCCCTGGGTCAATCGGCAGCTTGTCTATTGATCTGCTACAACTGCCTATCCCTATAAACCCACCTCTCTGGTACTGCTCTTCACAGTTGGCCTAGCACCTGTAACCTTAACTTCCTCGACACTGAGGGCACATTTGCCCAAGGGGAGTAGGGATAAAAACATGATTTTTTTTATTTCCACATTTTGGAATGACATGCATTCACTCACAAAACCCATCTAAAACCTGAATAGTTAATTTGAATTAGTTCATTATGAAAATATTACCTCAGAGATAAGGGCCCACACCAGCCTCCGTGCCAACATCACTGTGATAAATGCTGCCAGATGGTAATCAATGAGGTGAAAGTTCTAAAGGGGGAAAAAAGAGGGAATTCGTCAGAAGGACCGGCATGAAGGAGAAGCAAGAGAGCCAGAAGCTGCAGAGCTGATATAACAGAAGCATGGAAGTTCCTATAGGGCACAAAATGTCTACCATATATGTAGGGGAAGGAAGGGAACAGATTGTGAATTATGTTGATGGGGTGCAGTCCATGTGTAATTCACCCACAAGTATCAGTTGGAAAGGAAAACCTAAAATCAGGCATGCCGTATTTATCTATGAATTTCGATCTGTCAGGGGAAGGAGAGTAGCTGGTTTGTGTGGGAAGTCCCACCTTTGAGAGCCAAAAGTTAAGTGTTCACTGGATTGGAAGAAGGAACTTTGACTCAGTTTTTAAGCTAATTATGTTGAGTTATTCATTGGAAACAAACAAATCTAAAAACACAGAATGAACTAAACTGAAGTCATCAGAATAAAGCTGAAAACAAAATTCAAGTCTCATTCCCCACTAATGGCAATATTAGGGAGGCTGGTGAGATAATGGCCAGAGATCAGGATAACAAGGATACAGAGGAGAACTGTTTTGGAGTTCAGTACCATTCCTCTTACAGTTACACTATCATTGTCTGTAGGCTATTACATTATCATCAAGCATCTAGGAGGGCAGTGTGAGCAGCCTTCTTTCCCATGAGAAAAACAAAAACCCATAGCAAGCCCATTTTTCCCTTAATGAGAGACGGACAGCTAGAGCAGTGAACAGTTAAGAACACCATATCCCAGGGGAGGAACCTCAAGACCAGCAATTTCCAGGAACGTCACCCATCAGCAATAATGATTCTCTGGGGAAAATAATGTACATACGTAGGACACTATCTCTCAGCAAATGAAGCCACAAGACCTGCTATTCACAACTAAGTTCCTGAAAAAAGGCAAAAATCAACCTGCACTGGTGGAAATGTTAAGATGTATATGGAATTCAAGAGTCCAGCTATATGGGAAGGTCAGTGAATAAACTCTTGTTTGTTGTGGAAAATGTAACAAATGTTGAATAGTCAACTACAATAGAGATGGAACACCTCACTGCTCTGGTGGAAAATATGTAGTTCCTTTTCCAAAAAGAGCACTCTAGAGTGTGCTCTGGTGGAAAATATGTAGTTCCTTTTTCAAAAAGACTGGCAGTAAGTAGGAACTGTCTTCAGTACTATAAAAGAAGAGATCTTGAAGTTTTAAAAGGTAGATGCAGTCAGGTTTTTGGAGTTATGTTAATTTTCCTTGTAGGATTCCAATACTGTATACCATTAGCAGGCTGAGAAGAGAAAAATGTCACCCGTACTCTACTTTTTGCTATGGGCTTTTCCTCTGGAAAGTTAATTAGCAGATTTCTCCACAGAATCCCTTTATCTCACCCAATGAGTTTCCTGGGCATATGTTTCAGTCAATATTCAGTGAAGAACCAGGACTTAGCTGTCTCACTTTTCCTTGCCCTCTTGATCTTCGGACAGCCATTAGTTGGATATTAGCTTCAAAAAGGGGTCTGAAAATATGTAATCCAACAATGTGGGAATAAACAGCAATCTTTGTACCCTTCAATATTGTGGCCTCATTGTATACTGGCTTGACTGTCTGCATGAGGCTGCGGTGGGTTGTGTTCAGAGATGTGCACCTGCTACTCTTTTCTGGGAGTTTAGAATGTTGTCTAAGGACGCAGTATTCTAAGAAACGTGGTTTTTGTATTAATTGGTGCTAAAAATGTATGCTCAAAATAACACAGGCCAAACACCTGGTGAAACCTGATACTAATCACAGAATTTACCATTTTTGCTATGGAGTATCAAATGTCTAGGTGCAAAATACTGTTTTTTTTTTGTCTAAAATGCATATAATATTCGACACAACAGAATCTGCTTAATTAAGACAATAAAGCACATCATAATCAACAACAACAAAGACCATGTGGCTTTGAGAGGTAGCATGATGGTGCATGCAACTGTTTGGTGAACATTTGGAATGCTTCCAGTAATGTTCCCATGACTAAAATTCACATCTTCAACAAACCTACAGGCTCTATCCCCCACAACTGCAACAGCTGGCACAAAATTAAAGATTATCTTAAAACCCAAGTTTAGAAATACAGTACTGTAATGCAAGTACGTGGAACCGAAGATTATCTTAAAACCCAAGTTTAGAAATCCTGTAATGCAAGTACGTGGAACCAGATGGACAATGAGAAGAGACTGGTGTAGAACTCAAAGATGTTTTGGAGTATCTGAATACAGAGTATAGAGTCTAGCTTTGTAGACATCATACATAGTCTGCAGAGTTTTAACGTCTATATAATGAGCAAGGTGGGTGAAGGCTTCAGGAGACATTTCTGTACTTGTGCTTTGCAGTTCTTTTTCATTTTTTGCTTATAAAACTATGGTTTTTATTTATTGATGCCTGGAAACATGTACATATCGATGAACTAAGTCATAAGGCTAGGTGGCTGGACAGCTCAATGCATTAGGTATCTGACTGCAGAATGAGAGGTTGGGAGGGAGTTCAATTCTCCACTGTGCTTCCCAGGAGAACCACCTACTTATATTGCCTTGGGCACGCTGTAAAATCCCAGGGAACTCCCAGAAGAAGGGGACAGTAATTCATTTTTGAGTACCAGAAAACCTTGGAAAGGGTTGTCATAAGTCAGAATCAGCTTGTTGGAGTGCAATTATTAAGTCACAAGGCTGATGTTTTATTATGCCTGGACTAAATGAACTGTGAGCAGAGTGTTTAGTCTTCAAGCCAAACTCACCAGTGATGTGCAGGAAGCCGGGTGGTTGTATGGGTACCACCATACAGTCTTATAGATATTAATATACTGAATAAACAGGGCCACCAGCAAGTAAATAAAAAAGAGGAATTCAAACAGAAGGTTCCTGTCCACAGGCAGCTCTGGGATTCGGCAGTGTCGCACAGGCTCTGGAGTAATCAAAGCTGTGATAGGTGGAGCAGAGAGGCTCAGAGCACTACCATTCCTGAAACAAAACAAACAAAACAAAAAACACATCAGCAATTCCTACTTGAGCTGTCTTAGGATAGCTCATGCTGTCATACATTGAATAAAATAATATTTAGTGTTCAGATCAGGCTTTAAAATTTTTAAATTGTTCCACATGTTATCTCAACAGAGCCTTACAACAGCTCTATAAAAGTAATCAATGCAACCATCCTCTCCATAGATTCTGGGTTAAGAGAGAAAAGGATACAAACTGCTATCTTTACAAAGGCAAGTATCTGAATATTTACAAATAACACTCAGGCAAAAAATAGCAAGTGATGGAAATGAAAACACGTTCTGCTAAAATTTTACAGGCCTTTCAGGGCTACTACAGATCAAGTGACAACTACTTAGATTATACTACCTATCTAACTACTTAAATAATGTTATTATTACGGAATACTTTCAAGCACTCATAATACTTTTTGACAACTTCTGGAAAGGACGCACTGGTAACATAACTCTAAAAGAGGACTGACAATAGCTTAAATTGTTCTAAAGCAACTAAGGTACAACATGAGTGGAACACACAACTACTGCCTGCCCTCAGCAGCAGAAGAAATATTAAAAGTCAAGGTTCTGTGAACAGCTTACAGAAATATTAAAAGTCAAGGTTCTGTGAAGAGCTTACCAGGCAGGTAGTGAAACCCAAATTTCCACTTCCCAAGCCCACCATGTTACATTTTGATTTCACCTGTTTCTCAGGCCAGTGCCGTTGCCACAGTTGCCACCGACTAAGGTCTGGAGAGAAGGCAAAGCTGAACGGCTTAGCTGCTGCCGGCTGGGTCCCCTCCTTCCACCGGGCATGACCAGGAACAAATCCACCTCTTCCACCTCTGGCAGTCTTTGCCTTGAGACCTAGGTAACAATCTAAGCTTCTCAGTTCTGCAAACAAGAAAGAAACAACTGAACTTAGTTGATCAAACTATGTGTCAGTCACCGGCTAAAACAAAGCAGAGTCTCTTGAAAACTTCTGAGGCCAAGGCTTAGTTGATCAAACTATGTGTCAGTCACCAGCTAAAACAAAGAAGTTTCTTGAAAACTTGAGGCCAAGAAAACCAAAGATGGATTTGTAGCTAACAACACAAAGAAAAGGGATTAGACATAGGCAGGTGCTCTGATAGTTTAGTAGCATCTTCTATCACTGATCACTTTGCAAGAGGTATTTGTTTAGCTTTTAAACATTGTCTTTTTAATGCTGTTATCCACTTAAGGAAAAAGGCGGGGTAAAAAGATTTGAGATAAATAAATGCTAGCTGAACGAAACAGGCTGTTGAGAAACCGCTTGATCTGAAGTTGGTGAAAGATTCCTCCTTTCAACTGAATCTTCACTGAAGTAACTCTAAGAAATAAGACTGGGCATTAGATTCCATTTGTTATAAAAACATACTAGGCAAACGGTGAAAAAGATTTCTGAACCTAGTGGTTGTCCATTTATTTATTCATTCAGAAACATTTATATTCTCTGTTTGCTAATGTGAGAGTGAATAAAGTGTTGCCCTCCAGGCTGTTGGTTTGTAACTCTCAGCAGTTGCTACTACTGACTCTCATTGTGTGTGCTCCTAAAAGCTGGGATCTCACAATATCCGGAGAGCTATTCTTTGCGTACCACTACTCTAAATTCTAAGTGGGTTATGACAAATACATAGTTAAAATTACATATTCTGTATAGCACAATGCATCTAGAAGTAGCAAAAAAATGACACATACACTAACATCAGCACTGATCACAAGCATCAGGTTTTAACAAGGGCCATCAAATCCATCTCCTTTGGAGGACTTTCCAATCTTCTGCAGAAGATACTAAGAATAGGCATGGGTTGCAGAGAAAGCAAACTGGCTCCTTTTCTATCTGCTGACAGGCTTCTTCCACTAACTAGATTCTAGCTACAAGGCTTATTAAAACTGCAAGAAAAATCAACTTCTGGAAGCTAAAAAAGGAAGCTCTTTGCTAGCTTCTAAAACATTAATGAAGATGTGGCTCATAACCTTTACTCAGAAATTTAAACTATGTAGCGGACTACTGTAGCAGATATTGTTGAGGAGAATAATATGTCTGGTGTCAGTTGGAGGTGTTTAGTTTAGAAAATGGATATACCTGTGTACTGCCTGCATGGACTTCCAATCTTCAAGCTTTGCAGATGAAGGCAAACTGTTATCATTCATTCATTCAATCATTCGACTTGTATACCACCCATCTGGCAACCCAGGCCACTCTGGGTGGTTCAAATATTAGAAATTATAGTTATATCTGAAATTCCTCATCCCCAATCTTTTCAATTTTTATTTTAACAAATATTTTGTTCTTTTTGATTCAGGCTTAGATATAGGTGCTAAATTTCTTGCAAATGTGTAAAACACATCAGTCTAGAAACAAGCAAACAAAGAAAAACAGCAGAGCTGTCTGTTTTCTCACCAGTTGTGCTGGTATGTTCCTAACCTAACTTCTTTCTTTGTTTGTTTATAACATATTAACAACACAAGCAAATGCTGTCTACACAACCAGCAGGCTGAACAGATTGTCTGTTTTGTGCCAGTTTATTTTAAAATAATTGTATATTTTTTTCATTTTTAAAAAAGCCTGAATATGATTTACAATAAAAATGAATACTATGAAACCAAAAGCTATAAAAATGTCAATAAAAATAGAAAAATCAATTAAAAATAGCTTTTAGGGGGAAAACATGAAAACTGGTAAGACTTATCAAAGGAAACAGAATCTGCAATGGAATAAAGCCTGATTTTAAAGATCTATCATATAATTGTGCTGCACTGGGGCCTATGTCCTGTGTATATCATCACAGCTTACATATCAGAAATTAGAGGCTGACAAGGAATTGCAAATGAAACCAAAGTGGAGTCTACTCTGGAGCCCTTTAACTTTTTGATGCCCTCCATCCTGATATTCCTTCTGCTAGTGCAGCTGCTGCTCTGTGGTTAAATATGAATTAAGACAGCACAATACGAGTTGTGCAGTATTGTACTTGTAGGGAAAGTAAGTGGTGTTCGAAAGTAAGTGGTGTTCGAAAGGTCACATCTGTTTTATCATTTCTATTTACAGTACAACAACAAGAGAACAACCCACCATAAAGCACTGCAACTTTGGGAATAGCGGGAGGTCATGCTGATGTTTCAGGTTTTTAAAAAATTCAGTAAATACATTCACATTAGGTAGATTTTTAAAGGAAAAGACTGGTTCATAGCAGTGAGGCTGTATAACTGCACAGTAACACTTAAGTTTTTAAGAAATTCTTTTGAATTGGTCCCAGAAACAGACTGGTGCAGTTCTTGTAAGAGGTGTGTTATATGTTCCCTGTAGCTGGCCCCCGTCAGTAGTCTGGCTGCAGAGTTTTGCACCAGCTGAAGTTTCAGAGCTTTCTTGATGGTAAAACCTCAGTTATGTAATTTTTCCCCCTGGAAGACACACCAAGGCCAGCTGGTCAGCTCAGCTCTTCACGCCAGGTGAAAACAATCCACTGCCAACACACCTCCACTTAGATACTGTAGATGGATTTGTGTATTAAAGTACAGTAAATTGAAAGGCAGTATCAATGTAGGCAATATGTTGATTCTGACTAGTTTGTGTAACATTGCGTATATCTCAACTAGCTGTGTGCCTATGCTAACCAAGTTTAAGAGGCAATATTGCAGGCAGGAAGAGCTCAGTCTCCTGATCACTTCCCACTTCGCTGTTGTTTTTTCTGCATTCCTATTCACAGTAAGAAAGTTGTTCCCCAAGCCAACACAAAGAAGTAGACAGACGTGGCCCTCTAAAATTTATTGGGCTGCACCTTCCATTACAGACAATGTCTACAGTGAAGAATATCTGTAGGCTTTTGGGGGAGGGACAGTTGCATGCTAGTATGCATCTAGACATGCTAGTATGTTCTCCCCTTCTGAAGTGGGTGCAAGGAAAACTTTGTGCCAGTTTCTGAGGAGGGTCCTCTCTATGTGATGGTTTTGTTCCCACCCTGGCCACTGTGATGTCCTTCTGCCCCGTCCCATTTTTTAACTCCTTTGCCTTCTCTTCTCCCTATCTTTAACCTCCTCCAGCCTGTTCCTTCCCCAGTATGAAGTGGTGGTGGAGTCAGTCAATGACAGTGATGGCCTTTTTATGCAAATATGTTGGTGGGGGGTTACAGGTTACTTGGCTATTACAAAAGGGGGGGTCACAACTTGAAAAAGGTTGGGAATCACTGACTTACACACTGAAGAAATCATTAACCTCAAGAACATTCAGTTTTGTTACAAAAAACAGGCAAAGACTGAAGCACCACAAATAACTGGAATTTAGCCTCTTCTGCTTCTCACATACAAAGGAAATGCAACTACTCATCGTGGCAATTTAGGTTGGCACTGACAGACCAAGTTGACAATTTACATTTCATAACAGTGACAGAAAGCTATCACTACTCAGTAGGTGACAAATAATTATACTAGCTAAAACTACTCATTACATGTAAAAATATGCAGCAGTTTCTCCAACAGTCCATTTAAATCAGTAAGCGACACTGTTGGTGAGTGGCAATCAGATATTAAATATGTAGAAGAAAGAAGGGGTAGCTTTTTCCTTGTGCACTGTTTTGCTCACCTTAGTCATTTTCCCCATGGTGGATGCAATACAGAATTAAACAATGAAGAAGGAAAAAAAAAAAGAGAACCTTTTTTTCTCTTCTGCCCAGCAGAAACAGTCTTAGCAGATTAATGGGCTATCATGACATACATGTGTATATAACATGATGTTTGAGCCCAATGGATGGTAAATGTAAACACACAATTGTATCAGAAAGCTATTTTCTTTATAAAGCACTAAGCAAAGTAAAAGCACATTCTAATTCCCATTTCTTTCTTTTTCTTCAGTGTAGAAGGGGGGTCACAAGCCATTCTGTATCAAAACAATTAGCTCGGCATCTTAATTTCAATATTTGCATTGTCACAGGGATTTATACAGCTATTAATGTGATCTGTGTAGTATTTTAAAACATAGTGCTTGGCCACAAGGTATATTTACAAGTTATTTAAAACCAACAAATTCTAACTCCCCTCTACATATACAACAGCTTCAGAACAAGATGTACATGCTAGTAAGATTGCAAAATATATATGAAATACTAGAAATAATTCCTTCCATTTATAATGCAGTCCAAAGAGAGAAAGATAGGAAAAAACAGACTCAGTACAGTCCATGCAAAATTGTTTTAGAAGGCATTTAAAGATGCTTGAAGAAAGAAACTATTATGCATCTGTCAAAGGAAAATAAACAAAACTCTCATGGCTTTTAAAAATAGGAATGAAACTAAATGCAATAAAGCTTTTGACTAAGATTTTAATGACAGAAAACTATTTGGAATCAGCAGGCACTGAAGCAGATCATTTCTAAGGATTATGATCCCCCGATTAAATCATGCTAAAGATCGTAAGAGTAGATATCAGGCAAAACAGCACTTGGAATAGAAGAACTAACAATTACTATCTTAAAAAATGGACTGCATCATAAAGTGTCCCTTCACAACTCAGAATCCAGCGGAAGCTTTCCATTGGGTAAATGGGGAAGGGTGATGATTTTGTTCAAATTCTCACCCCTATTCACATGCCCTAGCACTACTTCCTATACTGTTCTACAGGTCCCAAACTTTGCAAATAATGGAGGCACCACTTGATGCTACAAATCCAAGAATGAATTAGAGAAAGTCACAGCTCCACTCTTTTCCTGTAATGGTAGCAGAGCTCTGGCACATCTGAGCCAGCCTAAGGAAATTGAGGGTATCAGCTAGCACCAAACACACAAAGAATCCTCCATTCTGCCAATGAAATGTTGGCTATAATGAAAAATGGAAAAGATCAACATCTGCCAGTTTTGATATTGCCATAAATAAATCCAGTGAATTCTTGGTTTACCTTGCAGACAACTTCAGAAGCTGACAAAATTAAAGAAAAATATCCTGGAGGACATGGATAAAGCACTCTCCCGTTTCCCTGCTGTACATCCATAAAACAGTATTGAGTACCATCTTCATCATCCTGCTTCTTTTGTTACATATATTCCTGTTAGTAAGTGTTGGATCAATATTCAGTCCTGGAGTTTTAGCACACCGCTCTACAGCATTTAAAGCCTTCTTGAACAAGCTTTACAAGGCTCTTGCCAAAACATTCCTCCCAGTCCTTGTAAGGTACACCCATCTTCTGCCAAGAATACTGGAGCTGTAAGACGTGAACTAAGAAACTAAACCTTTCTCGATACTATTTGCCCGTCGAGCTGTTTGCTTCCAGTAGCTTACTTTCTTCACCAGAATTCTGGATACAGGTCCAGAATTCTGAAAGGAAGAATGGCTTGTACAAAGGAAAAAATGAGGAAAACAGTGTTTCTATCCCCATGTCTTTCACTTTCCTATTCAGAACATGATAGTCTGGCAATTCACAGAAGATGTCATTTGGATGTACCGCCCATTCTTGTACTAATCAGCAGGAATGGACAGTAGTCTGTGCAGATCTGATGGATCTGAATCATCACCTCTTCTCTATTACATCTTGAAAACACGATTATCAAGCCAATACACTGCCCAAAGGAACACCCACTTATATATACTGTACATATCTTCATTTGTTCCTGTCAGCAGGAAGTCTTCAACCATCACCATGCATTTCTTCTTCCTGAGACTGGTGACTAGCTTCCTCTCATTGTGGGGTCTGTATGTCCTCTTAAGTATTCTGTGGAGCATGTGGTTCTTCTCTAGATGGGTCAGCAGTATTCTCCAAGGAAGGAGATAGTATAATACGGATTAAGTTCTCAAGTCAAGACCCCACTGTATCTCTTGCTTCTTCTGGTCACATGTATCTCATTCTGCCCATTGCCTGCCTCTTGTCCTTTCCTATTTTTTCTTACTCAGAATTATGGATTGCAGAGTATTTCAGGAGTTTTAGAAGGTGTGATGTAAAACTCCTGCCATGCAGATGTGCCAATCTATTAACTGCATGGCAAAATACAGACATACATGGGAGTAGTTAGTATATTTGCCCAGATTCTGTACAAGCAAAGTTGTTCTTGCTGCTGCTAACTGCAATAATCATAACAGTTCCTAAATAGGAAACATGACCATTATCTTACAGATCCTTACCAATATTGTTGCAAATTCTGTTGTGAAACACAGCAATGTCACCATTTGTTGCTCAGCAACTGGGCCATGTCTATGACTGTGCACCAGACCAGTAATCCACAATGTAATTCTTTTGAAATCAAGGATCTAAATGCAGCACTCTACCTGCTACTCTGTCACAATGGTTATCCTTCTATGTATTGCGTACAAATGTACACACAGGTATCTATAAGGAACCTGAGGCACACATTCCTTTCAGGTGATCCATGAAATAATTCAAACTGTCACATTAAAAACAGAAAACATGTGACAGACAGCTGCCCATTAAATTCAAAGTGCTTTCAAGCAAGTTGTGCACCATACATTCAAAAAACCAGTGACTTAATAGCTAAAGAAAAAAGACAGAAACTTTGTGGCACCTCTTCTCCAGGAGTTTATGAATTGATATGAAAGCGTGTCTCCTCGTGATACATGGGCTACTTTATAGAATTTCTCCATAAACTGGGACAAGAGTTTCCCTCTTACTGTAACTGTTTCTTCATTTAGAAAATTTCTGATACTTAAAATATAATTAGTGGTGTATTACTTAAGAAAAATGTTATTTTAAATAACGGAAAATCTCTTCAAGAATTAGAATTCCTAATTATTCAATAATCACACATAAGCCCAATAACATATGAGAAATAAAAAGTATATTCTAATCTAGCAGTCATGAGCAGTTTCCTGCATTATACTGACCACAAAATAGCTGACATACAGTTTCCTGTCACAGCAGACAGAACTGCAATTTCATAACTGAACATAACAAATTTTGCATCTCTGCCTGATAAATTAGAATTCCTAAATTAGATAACATTGAAGAACAGTCCTGTAAAACATACATATAAACCACAAGAAGAATTGCAATCAAAATTTGTAAAATGTTCATATTTTCATATTTCATAGTATTTTCATTGGACTTCCTCACAGGAAAGTTGTGTCCTAAATCAGTATTTTAAGACTCCAATCAGCATTTGCCTATTTAGTATGAATGAACAGATTCCTGATAATAGGGGACAATTCAGGACTCAATGATGTTATAGGAAATTTCCTCAGTTTTTTTCAAGTCTTGAGTGACAAGCAAAGAAAAATCTGCACATTTGGGGGCTAACAGATTACAGCAGAACCATTCTAGCCAGCACAAATAGTCACAAACATATATTTAAACTATTTTACTTATAGTTTTATGCTGCCTGTAAGGTTAAAGAGTGCTTTAAAATGTTTTGAGAAAGAAATATAGAATAGCCACAGTGACATGGTTAACCCGCATCTATTTCAGGGTCTGTACAGACTGAAATGGATACAGATTTGATCAGAAATGAGCAGCCATCACTTCGGGCCTCTTTGCTGAGTATGCTTTGCTAAGGGAGTCCACCAGTGGAAACTTCTACTTATTTAAGTCTCATTTACAAGTGGAAAGTGACGCTTCCTAGTTTTATGCAGTATGTTTACTCAGAAGCAAACCCTACTGAGGTTCACTTCCATATAACTGCACAGGGAACATCACACAACTTTTAAGGGGGCAGCCAACCTTATCAGCTCTTGCCTCTGACTGCCTGCAGGTTTCTAACTGATAGCACCATCCATAGGCATCCTTCAGTCTGGGGAGACTATGGTAACATGCTCTGAATCGAGGAGTATCCTCTCCGGAGCATGAAGCCTGGGTAAAGGAATATGGAGGATAGGCTGTTACCCAAGTAGCAGATTCCCCCCTCTCCATGTTGCTGAAAGAATATGACATCTGAAGCCCAATGTGACAAACATGTTTCTGAAATTGGGGGGGGGGGGAGAGAGAATGAAATTTATATAAGCCTCATAAATGAGCAAGTACATCCTACTGATCATAGCCTTCATCAGCAGAAGCCATAAATCACTGCATGAAAATGTCACATACATCCAAGAGCCAATCAATATTTAGTATGACGCCGATATTTCATTCAACTTTTCATTCTGCTTCCATATGTCTGATGAAGCGGAGGTGATCCAGGAAAGCTCACATTAAAATATAATAGTCTTTAAGGTGCCTCAGGTTAGTTTTTGTGGGTTTTTGTTTTGTTTGATTTTGCCTGATATATCAAGAAGGTTACCTTCTTACGAGGGGAAGGAAAGCCCCTAATTCCTCCCACCAGACAACTCATTACTCTCAACAGAGGAAAAAGTTGAGGCAGCTTGTTTAAAGAAAA